CAAACCACCATCCGGCAGGCCTTCAAGGATTGCACAGTTATAACGATAGCGCATCGGTAAGACGGATTTAATGTGCGCTTTAGAGCGAGTTAAGAGCTCTTTTTGCAGCATTAACACGATAATCGACTGCGATCGGGTTCTGGTGATGGATCATGGCCAAGCGGTGGAATTTGCGGCGCCCCACGAGCTGCTGGAGCAGAAAGATGGGCATTTTGCCCAAATGGTTGAACAAACCGGGCCGACCATGTCGTCCAAGCTACGCAAACAGGCCAAAGATAGCTACAATCAGAAGAGGGCCGTGGAGAATCAAAAGAGCGAATAACTGACTTAATGGAAAATAATTAACGCTGCATGGGGAACATTCCCAGACAATAACACCGACTGACTATTTACTTGATCTTAAATGCTTACTTACTGTTTTACGGATACTTACAAGGAATACTTAATATTTGTGAATAAAAAGTTTGTTTTTCTAAATTGGTTATTCATTCCGTTGGAATTAGGCTATGGAATAGCCTTCCAGTACGTTGACGTCGAAGCACGTCATTTTTCTATATGTGACAGAACTCAGAGATGTAAATGTCACTGACGACCCCAATATGACGTCTGCGAGGCGTGAGTTTGTCTCATTCATGAAATGACGTTAAAATGATGTGATTTCCACCTTCTTTCCCTAACGTTCGGGTTTAGAGGATCCAAACAGTTGATTGGATATTTTAAACGGTTCGTGAGATATAAAGTGTTTAATGTGACTATGGCTCTCCAAAATTTGACGTTTTTGCTTCTGTCTCTGTGAAATGTTTCTAAATTTTCATCCGTTTTAGACGTTTATGGTTCCGGACGCCTGACGCTTTTGCTAATAAATCAATGCTTCCATTTACGTTGATTAGACGTCACATTTAGTAACCATGTCTTATAATTGTCACCAAAAATCGACGTCTAGTCATATTTGTGCTTGCCTGTGAATGACAGTTGGTAAGAAACGTCATTAAGATATTTCTTGAACTGCTTGTGTCCATTTGCTTTTTTACAATTTTTGTAATTACTTCTTCATCATTATTTATTTCAACCAGACAATTGATTATTTCAACTCAGACAGAATCAAATGACAATTTGACTGTTTTGCCGCGTCCGTGTACGTCATTTATGGACTATAGACACTTTACTGTGACATATTGCCGTCATAATCACGTCGATATGACGTGAAGAAACTGCTAATTTCGACTCCTTGCGTCATTTTCACGTCTCTATCACGTTTGCTGCTGAAAGGAAACTAGCCAAACAGCAGTAATTGTGCTTTATTTAATTTATTAAAAAACTAAAACCAACAATTTATAAAATCTGCTTAAATATTTGTAACCTAGTCAACTGGTTTGCAGCAGCGGATTAACAAACCCAGGAAAATAAAAACTGATTTTTATAGGTTTTTAAACGAAAACACAAGCATTTACGGACAAACAACCGAACGAAACTTCCTTTAAAATAACGCTGTATTAAAAAATATTCAACTTTAGATCTAATTCGACTTGGGCGTGATGTGATTCTTGTCCCAAGCCGCCAGCCAGGCATCGTCTTCGGCATCATCATCGAGGTGTAGCTTAAAATCTCGCACTGTGGCCGCTATTTGCTGCTCACCCTCTTCCGCTCTCGGTTGGTATTGTCGCATAGGAGGGAGCTGTTTCACCATGTACGGCCCTTCCAGCTCATAGCCTATAATTGCAATCAAACACTCACTTACCATTACAGCCACTCCGGCCCAACTTACCCAACATCCGGTAGTAATTCCTGGTGCCCACTCCGGAAATAACGGCGATTTTCGACGATTCGTGCTCAGTCCATGCAATCTTTTCAGCCCAGCGCATCAGAAGAGATCCATATCCTAAGGCAAAGGATATAGAAGGGATGGCGCAGGCTGAGCCCTACTTACCTCGATGTTGGAACTTGTTGTCATCGCGGCCGCTTACAGGCACGACACTTCCATAGACGTGCAGCTCCCGCACAATTGAAGTGTTCCCAACCAGCTCCGGGCGGAAAGTCGTCTCTTTGGAGCATTGCCTCAGTCTTAAAAGCCCCACCAGAATGTCTTGCTTGGGGTCTTCGTAGCTCAAAAATGTCTCCCATCCGCCGTTTGCATAGTAGTCGCGCCTGATGGGCTCCACGTCGTGAGGGCGCACTTTTTCGTGGATCTCCGTTATTCCGACTTCTCTGGTTCGAACATCGCGGCATTTCAGGCCTAAATCTTTCATGCGTTCTAGAGCCAGCTCGCGTAAATTGCCGTGCTCGACTCCCGAGCTGAAAAGAGGATGAGAGGGAACAATTACGTGTGCAGTTGTTTTACGTCGGGTTTGCATTCGGCCAAGCCAGCACCCAATCATACCTCACTAAAGGCATCGGAATATCGCGCTGCACGCGATAGACTCGCGTCCATGGAGGCACCAAAGCCAAGATCTTTGCGATCAAATCCACCAGAACCGAGGGCGGGTAGCTCTGGTAGCGGCCAGTCTTCCACAGCTCGTACAGGCCGGTGCCGCGGATCACCAGAGTCGGATAAATCTTCAAACCGTCGGCTCTAAATGATGGATTCTCGAAAAATTCCTGCAAACAATACAGAATAAATTAAGAGTGAACACTGTTGCAGCCTTAGGGACGTACAATAAATTGCTCCATGTCCCGCTCCAGGTCCACATTGGGCAAATCGGGCATCATGTGCGCCACCACCTTAAATCCCGCGTCTTTTGCCAAGTTGAAGGTTTCGCACACTGCTTTCACTGTGTGGCCTCTGTTGGTGTCCAAAGCGACATCTTCATACACCGACTGGACTCCTAAACAGGCGTGGTTTGATCGAACTTGCCTCAAACGGAGCCAGAACGAACTTACCGATCTCTAGGCGAGTGCATCCGTACTTCAACATGTCAGACAGGTGTCTTTGCAAGCAATAATCTGGCCGGGTTTCGATCGTAATGCCGATGCACTTGGTGTTGGAGCGTTCCGAGTACATCACTGCTTCTTCGACTGAATCGCTTTTGTGGCCAGATAGAGCGTCGTGGAGGTTTCGGATGAAATAGTCGCGATAGCTCTCAGGGAGGCTCATAAATGTGCCTCCCATCACGATAAACTCCACCTGGAAACAGCAGGGATTTTGGAATTTGGTTCGGATGTTTCTCCAGTTTCGGAGGTTATTCGCTTCTGAACCGGTCACATTATCGTGCGTCCAGACCCCTAAAGAGCCGAGCCTGATCTGGACGTTTCGCCAAAAAAAAAACACCGAAAGACGATCGATTTTCTGTCGGGGTTTTGACTAAATATCAAACGAATTTTGCCGCGGATCAGGCTCATGTTCATTAAAAACCTAGTATTCATTTTCACTGGCAATTTTGTCATTTCGAACAGATTTCCGGGAGAAATTTGTCGAAAAACGCTCTTATTCTTCCTAAGAATGGAATGCTTAATTTTTGTGCGGGCACTGGAAATTTAATCGGATTCAACCGAAAGTTTCGCTCGATTTGCACATTTTTTCCTGGAAACAAAGCTTCCTATCGAAACATGTTGCTCTTGATAAAACTTTCAAAATCGTGTTCTTCAAAAAACAAATACCGCCAAAACGAAAAAGGACCACAAAAAGTTCAGAACGCCAATGGATTAGGTCTGGGTAACTCAGCGAATTTTTACGAGTTGACGCAGTGCTAAGCGAATGGCTTGATGCGCCAACCCAACGCACCGGCGCAGTAACTCAAGTTTCAACAAGTTTCGTTGCTGGGAAAATGTTGATGACTTTTTTTACTTGTTTTTAGATTTACTCAAGGGCGGTTTATTAAAAATAGTTTTAAAATTTCTTCAAAATTTCAGAATTTTCCAGTTTCAGCCAAGTTACTCTTTCTTCTAAATGCTCAATTTTCTAAAGTTTCACTTAAAAATGCTGACAAACTTAAGGTATTTTCCGTGAAAGAATATGAAATAAATTTCGAATCCTTGGTCGCTTTGTAAAAAGTTTTGAAATCCCTTTCCAGCGTCGAATTTGGAACAAAAATAGAAAAACGAACAGAATAAGCAAAAGTTTATAACAATTACATGGAAATTTCGCCACCTCCATTCCTCTGAAGACTGTAGATTTTATTAAGAAAACGTCTTTTTAGTTTTGACTGATTTTTTTTGCTTTACTTTCTACTTAAGTACTATATTTAGTTATATTAGTTACTACTCTATTTTGTATAGTTTCGCTTAAAAATACTGACGATCTGGAGGTCTTTTACGCGAAAATTTACAAGATAAATTTATAGCTTTACAAAAATTTTACAAAAACATTTTTCAGCGTCGAATTCGAGACAAAAACGAAAATAAGTTCCTTCTGTTTTTCCCCGAAAACCATTAAAGTTTTCTCCAAAACCGACCACTAAACTAAAAGTTTTTAGTCGAAAACGCAAAAAACCATTATTTTCTGATGATTTCCTACTTTTCTGACAATAATGGGGTCTTTTCAGCGAAAAATGTCAAAATTAATTTTGCTAGAAAATTCGCCTCATTCATCAGTTTGCAGGGAACTTTAGAAAACCCTGTTCAGCCTCGAATTTGGCACAAAACCAAATGATTTTATTCAGTTTTGTACCGAAAGTACTTAAGATTATCTTGAAAAAATAACCGAGAGCAAAAGTGTACAAAAAATTATTTGGAAAATTCGTCGCCCTCATTGCTCTGACGATTTTTAAACTTCCTTTAAATTTTCAGGTCAGTTTAGTTTTAATAAAGTTTTAATTAAGCAATTCTTTCTACGCAAAAATGTTTGGAAAACTTTTTACAGCTTCGAGTTATGGGCAAAACCTTAATAACTAATTATGGGTCTTTTTCCAAAAATATTTCCCCGAACTGAAAAAGCGAGTTTATAATAATTTATTTGGGAAACTCTTGGAAACCTGAGGTTTCTTCACTTTCAGGTCATTATTTCTAAACGACACTGTCTCTAAACAGAAAAACCGCATGTTTTCTAGCGTTTTACTGTAAAATACTGGCAAACTGAACCTTTAAGCAAAAAAATTAAGAGATCGATTTTACAAGACAAGAAAACTCGTCAACTCTCTTTGGACTCAGTTCTGTTGCTGGGGAAATCTAGATGACTTTTTGAAATGTTGAAAACCTTTTTTTTTTAGATGAGAAAAGTTCAGTCTCGGGACTATTACAGCTTTAATAAATGACTTATAACTCATTAACCGATAACTCGTTAACTCAGACAGCGGAAAGAACTCAATAGCGCAACTCATCACAGTGTTACCCAGACCTACAATGAATCGAGGGCGTGAATGTCCATAAGAAACGCCGTTTTAATTTTTTTTGCCAAAATCAACAATAAGCGAGTCACTGGCGATTTTGTCATTTAGAGCCGATTTCTGGGGCAAATTTGTCGAAAAACGCCACCATTTGCATAAGAAAAATTGAGGCAGAGTTTGAACTCAGATTTCAAGTAAATTTCGCCCAGTGGCATTCAAAGAATTAAAAAATAGTTCGTAGGCTGTTGCCGATAAGAATTTAGCCCGGACGTTTTGCCAGCACTCACGCTTTCCAACAAACACACTTCTGAAGATGCATGCGGACCAATTTCCAATTGACGACGATGATTTTCACCACCTTCGCCTAAAACATTCAACATCTGAATGCTCTTATTGCTTACTTTGTCCACCGAATGGCCGAGTTGTTTCAGCTGTTCCAGTCTGTGCCTGGTTTGGAGGTACGGATCGTATCGGGCCCTGATGGCCCTCATGGAGGTGGGTTCGTATCCAGTGTAGCTTTGAGTGGAATACTCAAAGTCCGAATCGGGCCCTCCTGGACAATACACGCAAATATTCCCGGTCATGTTGATGTGAGGGCACCTGTGAGGTTTGCACATCACCGCCACTACTGCAATCTATAAAGTGATTTAGTTTTAGTCCTCAAGGAGAGGGAGGTTAAGGAGGAGTTTTACCCCACTAGCGGTTCGGATGGGTTTGGCCATCAGTTTCGGCACCAGAACCTTCTTGTAGTCTTGAGGCACGGCCGCTATGATGTCCACCAGTCTGGGGGTGCTCGACAGCCCGTACTTTGAGGCCACTTTATTTTTGAGGGCGTTGAGGTTGACATTGCGCTTTTCCTCGTGGGCTTTGATCACCTCTTGCACCACTTCGGCCACCGTTATCACCTTGCGCTCCTCTAGGGTTAAGTGGGCGAATTCTACGGAAGATACGGGGGGATTGGAGTCAAGGCGAAAAATTTTACACAAAGCTAGGGGGATTTGCAATGATTGAAAGAGGGTTTTCAGATGAAATCTGCCAGATGGCCTACCAGACGTCCCGATTTGACGTCCTTGAATTTTTCATTTGCTAACTTATCAAGAGAAGATCGCAATATATGGAGTTTGCAAATCACTGAAAAGTGGTTCTGTGTGATCAACATTCATCGAACACACTGAAAAACAGGAATATCATGGTTTCCAAAAGCCAATGATGAACTGTCGAGAAAATTAATATGAAGCAAAGTCAGTTTAGATCATTGGAAGATTCTAGATGAGCAGACAAATAGAGGAAAAGCAACGGAAAATCATCGTTAATGGGAAAAATATATTAAAATCGCTTCAAGCGTCCTGAATTCACACACTAGTCAGGGGTGGACATTGCCAAAAACCATCGAAATCGATTAGAAAACATTCAAGTCCCGAAATGCAGAAAGTTACTTCAAAGAACGTTAGGGGCTTTGAGCTAAGGAAGAATGAAGAACTTGTTAATTACATTAGAGGGGCACTACGGTAAAATCGTCTCCTTAAACAAGGTGGCTGCACGCACGGGCGCGGGCATAATTTGAATGAAAATCATACAGATTGTCCTAAAACTTACCGTTTTTATTTCCTTTTGCCATTTTCGTATTCTGCACACCAAACAACACTAAAAAATTGTTTGCACACCAAATGCGAATAAACTTTAAAACTTAGGTTAGATTACCAGTACTTCAACCTTCAACCATTTTGACTTATGTCAATTGCAAAATATTACAGATTCCTTCAATTGGGATAGACCGGCCAGTATGTTGTCAGGCCAGAGATGGCTTGAAAACTTTATAATTAAAGATTTTCCACAAATTTCTAGAAAATTTTTAAACTGGGAAAAAGATGATATTTTGACAAAAAAATCCCTGCAGTTTAATCCGATTTTCGCTTGAGTTACTTGATTTTTTTACTTTTTTCTGATTTGAACTCCTGTTTTAGGTCTAAATCGTTGATATTGTATTGTATTGAGTACAGCGGTTTTATCTCCAACATTTTTAACAAGGAATGTTGGTTAGAAAATCTTAACCTCTAAAAAGATACAAGCTTGCGAGCACTGTATCTCGAACAGGGCTAAACATATACATAAAACCGTTGGGGCTTTTCCGAAAGCTCCTTTCAAGTACTCCATTGCAGCTATCAGATTTCATAAGAACACCTTAACCTCTAAAGAAATAGCAGCAAAACTATCAAACTTAAAACGCTGTCTAAGTGAAAAATGGTCTATATCTCCGAAATCGTTGTAAATATTGCATCAGTCGTAATAACCTTTTGGATAGCTCGTTTTGAAAGCTATCGTTCATCTTTAAGGTTTCATAGCAAGTTGTTAACCTGTAAAAAAGTAGAAGCAAAAATATCAAAGTAAAAATTATGTGAAAGCGAATAACAGTTTATATCTCCGAAATAGTTTAAAATATCGCATCAGTCGTAATTACTTTTTTGATAGCCCGTTTCCAGCGCTATCTTTAATCTTTAACAGTTTTATTACCAATTATTAACCTCTAAAGATATAGAAGCTAAAATATCACATTTAATAGGCTATTGAAGAAGGAGCAGCCTATATCTCCGAAATGGTTGGGAATATGACATCAACCGTAATGACCTTTTCGAAAGCTCGTCAGAAGATCTCTATTTGAGGGTTAACACTCGATAATAAATTCCTAACCTATAAAGAGATAGAAGCAAAATTGTCATAGTTAATACACGATCGAAGTAAAAAGCAGTTTATATCGCCGAAACGGCCGGAATATCTCTACAGTCGCAGTGACCTTTTCGAAAGCCCGTCCCAACGGCGATCTTCCGTCTATAACGCTTTATCAGAAATTCTTAACCTCTAAAGAAATAGATCTTTCACCGTTAATCGGCTATCCAAGGCAAAAACCGACCCGAAACAGGTAAAAATTTTCGGTTATTACGTTCCATTGGCGATTACTAACCCCTAAACAAAGAAAAGCAAAAGTTATAACTTTGTGGGTTCCTAAACTGTCTATATCTCAGAAACAGTTTAAAATATCTATTTGGTCAATAGAAGCTTTTCGATGGCCCGTTTCAAAAACTGTATTTCATTAATTAAGTTTCATCCAAAATTCCTAACCTCTAAAGCGATAGAAGCAAACAACTTGGGCGTCTTCAAACATAAAACCCTCTATATCTTCGAAACGTTTGAAATATCCATTTGGTCACTACAAGCTTTCCGATGGTCCGTTTTAAAAACTGTATTTCAACAATTAGGTCTCATCCAAAATTCCTAACCTCTAAAGCAATAGAAGGAAAATTAAAAAAATTGGGCGTCTTCAAATATAAAACCCTCTATATATTCGAAACGTTTGAACATATGCAATCAGTCCTTAGGACCTTTTTCTTAGCCCGTGTTAAGGGCTGACTTTTACCTTTTACAGTTTAAACGCCATTCTTAACCTCTAACGAGAAAAAAACAAAAATAACAAGATTTTCGGCATTTTCGAATAGAAAACCCTGTATATCTCCGAAACGGTTGGAAATATTTAATCAGTGATTAGAACCTTTTTGATAGAACATCTCAAGAGCTACCGTTTATCTCCTAGATTTCATAAGAAATTCTTAATCTCTAAAGAACTAAGTGCAAAATAAGACGATCAGATAGTTAAAGTTTGCCCTACAGTCATGCTCTAAGACCCGAAAAATATGAAATAATCTGAAGATTTTCCAGATCGAATCAAATCTCCAATCTATGCAAAAACCCTATGTGTGTGAGAGAGATGAAGCTAATATGGGCTCCTTGCTGCTGCAATAAGCAATAATGTTAACTTATTTTCTTTATTTTTCTTTTTTCTTATTTCTTTATTTGAACCTATTTTCTTCAGAACTCGAGGGAAAATCTAGTGTAGAAACCGAATTCGCGTAGTAAAACTACTAGGAGGTAATTTAAAAAAAAAACTTCTGTTGGTCAATTTTTCGATCCGTCCTTGCCGAAAATGTTCTTAAAATCCTCAAAAACTGTAGAATTTGATAGTAAAAAAAGTCGAATTTCAAAAGCTTGAAAGTTTCATTTCGAAGGCATTATCAAGAATTTTTCAAGAAAATGTTGTGTAGATCAGTGGATTCATCGATCAAACCTCAAAAAACTGTAGAATTTCGTATTTTTTGCAGTAAAATTGCAAAAAAACAAGCGTACAAAACTGAAAGTTCGATGGGTGTCCATCTGCAGGCGGTTTTCTGACATTCAGATCTCGCCCGATCGATTAAGCGACGACTTGGATATTATATCAGACGTTCTTGTTCAAGAATGAATGTCTGAAATGCTACAGAAAATCACCAAAATTCAATTTCTAATTTCAAAGTTTCATCTGGAACGCATCCTCAGGCAATTCTTCACAAAATTGCATGGTTTTCAAGCCAGCGATTTTCCTGCACAGATCACAGAGGTTATCACAGTTATCACAGTTATCACAGTTATCACAGAGTTAGGATTACATTCTGTGATCTGCGATTTCCTGTGTGTTTGTGTCCTTTGGTCGACTATAAAGTTTCAAAATGTAAGTGCGGCAACACGGCTTACCCCCTCTACTAGCCCCTAGCCGACACAAACAAAAACAAAGTAGCCGGATTTCAACTCAAAACAGTCGAAATCGAGATGGCGTGGCAGCGGTAGCGATTATAGGGGAACGCTGGGCAAAATCGAACAATCGCGCCTCATTTGCGTTAATTATTCTCAGTGGTGTAAAATCGAGTGACTTGGTTATTGGACTTGCTAAACCCCACCCCCATCACACCCTGCTTTCCACTCAGGTGAGGCGAAGTCCCAGATGTGAATAGAGCATGATTCCTTCTTGTTGGTGGTCTATTTAAAATTGATTCTTAATATATTGGCATGTTCTTGCTTGCACGTTTTTCACTCCCTAATCAACCCACCCTCTTGCTCCCAGTCCGGAAAAACACCCCTATTTTTATAGGTTATGTCAATGGTGGCAAAGGCATCTTTTCAGCGTCCGGAAACGGCCGCCAGACTCAGCTATTGCACTATTTTCGTCTAGTAGTCTAATAAAAGAGCATAAAAAATCAGCTGCAAAAACAATCTAAAAATAATGCGGCTGCATTTAATTAGCATCCTAATTGGATTGGCAATTTAGACCTGGGCGCTTTCGTCGCTAATTAGATCAAATGGGCAGCTTATCTGCACGTTGACAACAGAAAACTCCATAGATTTCGATGATTAATTACTATTGACGGCTACTTATTTGCCCAACAAGAGAACGATTAGCCATTAGAAATTGTGGCTATTTGCTGTTAACAATCCATTAGGTCTGGTAAAGTTGTCGACGAAAAAAAAACCAGAAAATTCTTATCCTTTCACTTCAATTTCACGCAAAAGTCGAGTAAACCCAGCGTTCTTCATTCAACAGACATCTAGGCCAGCCATTTTTAATTTATTGGAAGCACAGCTTTCTGTGGAGCATGCACCTGAAATAATCGCTAGAATTAGTCAGATTTCATGCTTGTTACCTACATTTCTCATTGCCCTACAATCTGCTAGACGATTCAAGAAGAATTGCTAATGCGACAACCGGAATTTGCACTGTTTCGCTTTTTAGAGGTTAGAAAATTCAGATTCTGATCCTGATTGGGGCAGCTTGTGAGACGCCCTATCAAAAAGCTCCTAATAATTGTTGGGAAATTCACCACCGTTTACTGCAATTTTGCCTTATACCTCTTTAGAGGTTAGGAATTTTATACCGAATTTGTTAGGGAAAGACAGCCCTTGAAACACTCAATGGAAAAGGTCATTAAGACTAATGCGCTATTTCGAACAGATTTCGAGATATTAATGAATATGTTGCTATTGTACTTCAATGTTTTTAGAGGTTACATTATTTTAATGCAGCTTAGTTGAGCTCTAAGGAGGCTCTACAGAAAAGCTTCTAATGATTGTTCAGATTTTTGCAACAGTTTCCGAAATATAAGGAATTGGTGGATTTTTGGCTCTGCTTTTTAGAGGTTAAGAATTTCCGATGAAACCTTATCAAGAAAACGACAATTTCTAAAACCCTCTATTAAACGTCTCCTGATATTTTGCAGATTGTCACAACCGTTCGCGCTATATGAAAGAAATACTGCAATTTTAGTCAACATTTCCTTAGAGGTTAGCAATTTTAATCCGCGTTTAATACGAAGGGACAGCTCTTGAAAAACTGCATCAAAAAGGTCATTACGATTAGTGGGCTATTTCTGACAGCTTTCGAGATATTAAAGAATATGTTGCAACCTTGCTTCCATCTTTTTAAAGGTTAAAAAATTTCAACACACAAAGTTTTTATGACGCTCTACCAAAGGGCTCCTAATGATGGTTCAGATATTCTCAATCGATTCAGAAACATTGACAAATTATGGCAATTTGAGCTCTGTTTTTGAGAGGTTATAAACTTACCTTCCGATATTTTTAGACATGGATAGTCCTTAAAACAATTCTTAAGACGCGCCTTAAAAACATCCTTAAAAATGGTTAGATATTTGCTATCGTTTGCTTAAAAAACGTAAACAATAATGCAATTTTGCCTGTATGTATTCAGAGGTTAAGAATTTTTATTGGGCTCTTACTATCTATCTTACTAGGAAAATGCGCTTCTTAGGACGCTTTCTTAGGCAACACCTTCTAGTGTTTATGTAGACATTTCCAACCAAATGCCAGATATAAATAAATTACTGCAATTTTGCCCTATATGTATGTATTTCGAGGTTAGGAATGTGGATTGAAAATTTCTTAGAAAAAAGCAGGACATTTGACGCTCTTTGAGCAACTGCTAAAGATGGGATTTTCTCAATTGTTTCACAAATATCAATCAATTATGTAAAGTTTTTATATCATTCTTTAGAGGTTAAAAATTCTTATTAAACTTTTAATATCTAACCTCTTTTGTTGGTTCCTGTTCGTTACAATTTTTTTCCGTTTTTTTTTAACGATTTCCGTAGTATGTACAAGAAAATTACTGCAATTTTAGAATTTACTCTGCAGAGGTTAGGAATGTCTGATTCAAAGCCCTCATTAGGAAGCTAAATCAACAGACAAGTTTATCACGAAAAGACAGCTTTTGAAACACTCCATGAAAAAAGTTGCAAGAGGCCGAATTGTTAATGGAAAGGTTGCAATTTTGCTTTCATCTTTTTAGAGGTTAGAAACTTTTAATGCAGATTAATTGCGACAAGGATTCTTTCAAAAAGCTTCCAATGATTTGGTTTCCGTTTGTTGATTTGGTCGCCTCAGTTTTTGAGAAATAATAAATGACTACAATTTTGCCCTATACATTTTTAGAGGTTATTAATTTTTATTCGAGGTCTTGACTAGAAAATGCGATTTTTAGGTCGTTCTTTTAAGCATCTTCTGATTATTGAATAAAAACTCTCAACCTTTCCAAGATATAAATAAGTTGCTGAAGTTTTAGCTCGGTTTTTCAGAGGTTACAAAATTTCAATTCAAACCGTATTAGGCAAACGACATTCAAAAAACTCGTTATGGAACGGCTTATAAACGTTACTGCAATTTTGCTTCCATTTCTTTTGAGGTTAGAATTCTATTGGGATGTTATTAAGAAAAACAGTTTGTGAGACGCGCTATTAAAAAGCATCTAAAATTGTTTGGATGTAAGATGTAAATAATAAACAGCCATTTTTGCATTCATTCTTTAGAGGTTAGGAACTTATATACATACTTTTTAATGGAAAAATACCCCTTGATCACAGTGTGCGATATATTATCAGCTTACCAAAGGTTACTGAAAATGTGAACAGTAAATGCAATTTTGCGTGTATCTTTTTAAAGGTTAGGAATTTTTTATGCACACTAAACTGCACATTTGGAGCGCTTGATTCCTCCTAATAATGAGTTTCTGATTATTTTCTCTGAATTTCTGAGCTAACGGTAGATCGGACTTAAACCATAGATGTCTAGAGGTTACAATCACTTGCATTTTATGCTTGTTAATCATCCGAACCTAACCTGACTTAAATAGTGCGCAAGTCAGCGTCAATTATTTTCGAAAGTGCAAATGTATTAATACCGGAAGAATTCGGCTTCAACGGAGTAGTTTGACTTGGAAAATCGATGTTTATTCAAGTTTAAACCTTGACTGCCTGCATCCACGTTCTGCACTATTAACCTTTGGCCACATCGAGTGTGTATTTATTCAGATTGCAACATTTTTCCTCTTTTGCATAAGCACTTAGCACTAAGCTGGTTTGATGAATCGCATTAGTGGCAGCTTTTCAATTCCATTGATCTGCAATGCTTTTAATTTAATTAATTTTTTTATTATTCATTATACATTATTTTCTGGCAGATTACTGTGACGCATGCCATGACCCTATAAATTGTAATGAGGAATAATGTTACTTAATGGAGCTTTTCCGTTCATTAAATGGATCGTTCCAGTCTGATCGTATAATGCTCTTAAAAAATTAACAGTCCAATGGCCTGGGGTTTTATTGAACATTCAGCAAATTGGGGCAAAATTTTCGTGTTTCTCTAATATAAATACAGTCATTGTTCTCTATCGTGACGACTAGAGTCAACTTTTTCTGTTCTGTGCGTAGCTTTTCCTTCGTTGCTTTAAGCGGCCAATTAAATGGTTTTCTTTGCAATATTTCCGCAACCTTAAGGAACGAAAGGCGCTTCAAAGCATTTGACTTTCACTCAAAACGTTGTTTCAGGGTGTTAATTAGGTCAGGGTAGCACCGTGATGTGTGACACTTTTGTGTTGATGCCGCTATGTGCGCCAATGCGCTATAACACATTGTGTCTTACGGTGTAACACGTTAACTCAAACTTTTTGAACACCTGAACATCCACTGTGTCACCCAATGTGTTGATGGTTTCCAGGGGCAAATAACCCAATAAATTCATCAAACTTGGAAGATATTTGCAAAAAAGAGTGCTACAATCAATCTGTTAAGTATCGTTTGTTAAACGATTTATTAATTTAATCTCTGCGGAATATGTAACAACATGGTCTGTTTACGGCAAAGTGGAAAAACCGGCGCTTCCGGCCATTAAGCAAGCTAATGGTTATTGCAACAATAGACGATTGAAAATAACCATCATCAATCTTTGCGTTTAATTTTTTCAATGCTTTGTAATCAGTATGGAAAATTTGGAGACAATTTTTTCAAATTTATTTAACGCACAGATTTGTGAATGTTTGTTGCGGTTGCGATGCAAGCTGCGGCTGAGGATGGCTTTCTTATAAAGTCTAAACCATAAACCACATTTCAACATGACCGAGACATTCGGGGCATTCTGATTACTGGCGCATCCCAGGGACGGCGGCATGTTTCCATAAAAGAACGTTGAATCGGTTACGGGGAATCGAGCCAATTAAGGGGCGCCGTCCCCACGCAAAAACACTCGCTCGACGAATGGGAACAATTCATTTTCCCCCCCATTTAACTGAAGTACTTTTTGAGACGGATGAGGATCTTAAGAAAGAAGAGTTTTTGAAGCGCGACTGCTTAAAAAATTTAAGCTTTTCAAAGTCAAGTTTAAAAAATTGTCAAAACTCAACGGCAGAGAGGAATTGAGTGAAACTTTGCACGCGTCGCACTAAGGCCTTTTTCTAGAAATGCTCAAAATTTCTGCCGATTATCTTTGCCAGGATAGAAGTTGTGAGTTTTTTTGGAATGTACCGCACAATTGCAAAAATCTCTTTAACGGTAGGTTTAAAAGCTGTCCAAATTTTTTTGGCCCCTGGGAATTGAGTGAAACTTTACCCGAATTGAACCAAGCGCTTTATCTCCAAACG